AGCTGCCGCTTTTGTTTATGGTGTTTGATTGGCTCGTTGGCTTGGCGAGAGGATGTGGAAGGACTTTCTCAGGCTTGCGTGTTGTCGGTGGATTCTGAATGCCGACCATGGATTGCGAATCGGACCATCTCAAGGTGAGGGATGGAAAAGAGTAGAGTCCAGGCAAATGATCTACAATAAGCCACAATGAGTTTCAGTGCAGAGCATGAACTCGAAAGGATGACAAAGAATAAATCTGTTCATGTGTGGATAGGAATTATTCTGCCCTTTTTTGTGATTACTCATTTTGCCTGTCTCAGTCCTGGAGTTTGTCTCCTGATACTGCTTGCAAGTAATTCAGCTTGGAATATGGTTGGATATTTGCCCAGTGCCTGGGATACCTTGAAGTTTCTGAGATGCCAGTCCAGTCAATCCAGCTCTGTTCGCTAGATTAGAGTCATCTGTGTATCTCAGCGAGGTGTTCGCTGCATGCTGTAGCTCTTTATTCTTCCATGATTGGCGGATGTTGATGACCACAGCGATTGGAATATCTAGGTGAGACCATCTTTGCACAGGTGACCTCTCAGATCTCGAGGCTTGAATTTATTTGAACACAGGGAGATTTTTGTCGGTTAAGATAGCGAAACTAATTTCACTAAAAAAATTCTTTGATATTGAAGTCAATAGAGAATTGTGAAATTGGAGTTAGTGCAGGATTCGAACTGAGGGCCGAAAATCTGCCAGGTGGGTTGGTTGGCTCAGTTGGTAGAGCTACGTACTAGCAATGCGATGCTTGCGGGTTCAAATCCCGCACTTACTCCAAATTTTCAATTTTCATTGAATTTGATTTCCACAAATTTTTCTTTGTTGAATTTATTTGTCTGGAATAACCTATTAGCGCATGTGATTGCATGGCCCTTTTTTCACACTTAGGTGAAGTGGAGGCATATGTTCAGCGACTCTGCTGCGGTAGGGCAGCTTAACATTACCTCTGTTATTCCTAGACAAATTAGCCTTTGAACCTTCCTCAGTTTGATCTGAGCGGTGATCTACTCAGTTTTTGGCCACCATTCCGATAAGATATATTATGTGACCATGGGCTTTGATTACTGTCTGGTAGAACTAGTATACCACTCTAGGTTTGAGCTTCCATGTCTTGCCAACAAGTTTGCGGCAAGTCCAGATAGTCACTACCGCTCAAGAAAGGTTTGAATGTAAGAGCTGTGGACATGGTTAGACAGTGCCCTGCTGATGGTAAGCGTTGTAGACATTGTACTCGCTATGGTCCTTTTGAAGTTATGTGTCCTAGTATATTAAATGGATCAGGTAGCAGTTAACAGAAGTAAGTAAGGGAGGTTCAAGAAGCTGATGCTGATAATGAGTCTGATGGTGAGACTGTTGAATATGTGGTATCGTCAATATATGTTTCAATGAGATAAAAAATGCTAAAGAATGGCTGTTCCAGAATTTGGAATCCAATGTGAGCCCTGAGTATTTCACCTTATTGGAAAATGTTAAAAAATGTTAACGTTCTCTTAAGTGTAGGTGCACGGATTTTCAGCTTTCTCCTTCTCATAAACGGTACTAAAATGGTTTTGCTAAGGTTAAGAAATAGTTCCTCATCTTCGCTCTAGTGTTCAATGATGTTCAAGACAGTTTGCGTTGGGTTGATGATAATAGCTTCGTGCTAACTCTTGGTTATTACGATCAGGATCATCCGCGTAGCATAGGATCATTTAGTGCAGATCTGTTCAGCTTGATTAGGATGTTATCTACCATAGCTTCCACAGTATGGGCGAGGGAACTCCCCCTTGGGGACACTCTTTGACTGTGGATACGGTTATTGATAAGCTAACCAAGCTCTGTTTATTCCAAAGGTAACCAAGCTACAATAGGTCATTTGTAGACATAAAACGAATACTTTCAATATTGTAACTAGGAAAGGACATGAAATAGGGAAGAATTGTATCCAATAGAGATGGACTTTTCGATAAATTAATCAATATTACGGTATAATAAACAATTGACTTGTCAAAAATTAATTAACTTGTTGTTCTTAATTAGTGTAACGCTTAATTAAATATTGGCTTGCTCTAAGCAGTTATACTAGCAAGTCTGCTTAAAAACGATGCAGAATGTTGTAAATATTAATTAGCAATGGTTGACTAGACTTGGTTTTGATTGATTTTACCGGAGAAAGCGCATCTATGTATAAGTTAATATTTATTTTACATAAAACAACAAGATTTGGAACTCCCTCTCCCCCCACCAACCTCTGCACAATTTTCTGGAGTGTTAACATATGCCACACGATTACTTACTTATATAGCAACAATTTAAAAATAGTCTCTTGCTTTTATCATCAAAAGTGCCAGGGGATACAATAGGACCCCCGACTAAGGCATAGGTACTACAGTCTTGAAGAATTTTATCAGTGAAATTTAGTCTTTTAATTATAACGATCTTTTGTATCATTGTTCCCTCGTACAAAATAAAATTGTCAATTCTGAAAGGTCCCTAATACCTAGTTGTTTTTCTTTCTTCTTTGTCCAGGTAGGAAATCTTGCATGGGTATTTAAACTGCCTGCCGAAATTATCAAGTTTTATTTATTTATTTTTATATTGTTTTAAAGTGTTAACAAGGTTTCAAATATTTATTTTTTTCTATTTATTTTGTTTTTCTTCTTTGTTTGTATAGGAATTTCCATATAATTTAACTATTTTTATAGTATTTTATCCTAGTAGGTACCTACTTTACTGAAATTATAAGAAATTTATTATTTATTATTATTTTTTAGATTATTTTAATGCGTTTTTAATAATGTTGTTTCTGCTTTCTTTTATGCACTTGTAATATTAATATTCTAGTCTATTTTATGTCGTTATGTTTTGATCTCCTTGAAGTGATAGGTAGGTACTTAACTTGAAAAATCAATTAGGTATCAGTTTAATTATTAATTTGAATGTTATTAACTGTGATAATAAACTAGAATAATGGGTGTAAAGTTTGAGAATCGCTTTGTCAATGGTTTTTATAAAATTTCATTATTGAATTGAATTGAATTGAAGCCACCATCCAAGGCAAAAACATGGAATTATAACAACGTTAACAGAACGTCCTCGAAACACCTGCGAGCCACAACATCTCGATAGGCCTTTCTATCAAATTCAAAATCAAATCAAATATTCAAACACGACAAAACGTGGATGAACAATCAGTGATGGCTAATGCATATCTTGCATTTCTCGGGTGACATACAGGATAGCGTAAGTCTTGAACAAAGACAACATAAAAACAATATTTAAGCCAACAAGGAAAATACAGCAATCAATGAGATCAGCCAAGGATAAGAAGAACCCACTGTCAAGCTCTGGAGTCTATCGTTTACCATGCACATGTGGTAAGATATACATTGGCACAACAAAAAGATCTATGCGAACCAGCACAAAAGAAACTGAAGACTAGGACAACCGGAAAAAACAAGAGTAGCGGAACATGCGCTTAGTGAAGAGAATCGCGAAATACTCTTTGGTGAGGTCAAGCTTCTTGCACCGACTTCCGGACATTACAATCGTCTTGTACGCGAAGCTATAGAAATCCACAAACATACGGAGAAATTTAATAAGAAAGAAGAAACACTAAAACGTGAACAAATCTGGAACCTGATCCCCAAAAACGTGAGAAAGATCCCATTGAGTACAGAGTGTGATGGTTTTTTTCGATTTATATGATATAAATGTTCATTTTAATAGTTTAAACTTTTTTATTCTCTCACTTATATCAGTTTCCACGTCTGCTTTGATTTTTTATACTGTTGATTTTTTGATTTTGATTTTCCGAGCTGCGGTAACAAGCATTCAATGTTTCTTTTTTTTTTAATCATTTTCTCAATTATGTCTTCTATCATCCTTTTAGTTTTTTTTTGCCCTTTTCTAATGGTTTCATTCACTTTCTGTTTACTCTTCTGTTATTCTTAGCACTTGTTCAATAAGTGTTCTACTTTCATCCATTGAGTCTTTTGTAGCTGGAGAGATATATAGCGTTTCAACTTTGTTGTTCTTTGTGTTATTTCTTTTCGAGCTTTCACTAGTGTATGAGTTTATAGCATGTTTATATCTTTCATTTATTTATTTTTCAAAGCCCCTTCATTTGGTATCCTCTACTTTCTTCTTATACCTACCACTGTTTTTCTTGATTTAGTTTTTTCATCTTTAGCTTCTATTTATTTGCCGTTATCTTTACCCAACAATGCAATCATATACCTTGTGAGGAAAATCAAAAATATTGGCACTTCCTGTGAATTTGCATACAATGTAAAAATTCTATAAACGTACTATGAAAAAGTTTTTCAATCATTTTGGAAATCGTAATAATTGAATTCCTTCAAGATGCCCTGCATAACTCCAAGGTCTTTGACGGCATCTTATCTTTAACTTGTAGTCTGGTATTAGCTAATATACTAGAAATCTGTGAACTATAACTACTATAATCGCGTTTTCAGCTCCCCAAGATTCACTAACTTTTATCACCTAAGTGTCTGTTTTTGAAAAGTGCTGGAAATTTCATAGTTCCCATTCAGTTGCCTTATGCCGATTAATTGTGTCTTATAAGGAAAAAGTTACCAAAAAATATTTTTTGTCTGTCCGACAGTTAATTAATTGTAGAAGTATCTATCACATTCTTCGTGTTTTTCAAAAAAAACTAGTCCCCATTAAACGTGAAGTAGTTTATAGATAATTAGTAACGTTAACCCCTGAACTTCCCAAGTACAATATTAGGTCCGATTTAGATGAGCGCACTTCACTGCATTCCTTAATGGCAATTGTTGTGAGGGTTCCGAATATTAGGGACAGGCCCTAGATAGCGTTTAATTTATGAATAAATAGATCTTGATATGGTGTGATGCTATTCCCAAAATACCTTAGTAATTTTCTATAGAAGAACATTTGGAAAGACTTAAAAAAGAAAATTTATTGTACCCATCATAAATCCATTAGGTGATAGAATTATCAGTCCTTACGTTATTCAGTGGAAGCGTTATGTCAAATCCAGAAAATTGAATCGTGAAGCAGAGCGGTCGGTCGTTCGCGGTGCATTGCTGCTGTATAGCGACCAGCTGTCGGGTCATTTCCTGAATTTCATCCTGCAGAGCTTTTCCAGCTTTTTTGGCCGTTTCGCACTCGCCTAGTAAATCCGACACTATTGAGGACACCTTTGACGTTTCTGAAAATATTGTATGTGTTGAATTCATATAAATCTGTTATTAGGATTAAAGAATATAATACCATTTTTAAGATTTCCAAGTGATGCAAGGGCCATGTCCAACCCAGTTTCAGATGTCAGTTGTTGTTGGTAGGGTTGTCCTAAGAAAGTTTCACCATCTGCAAAAGGGTTTTGAAAAACAAATTAAAATTTAGGGTTAAGCGCATTCATTAAAATTAACCATTACTGGTCTGTTATCATCACCCGCATAATTTCACGTTCCCAAGGCATTAAATTTGATAAATGGTCTGTTTTCGCTTTTATAATCATAACGCTATAATAAAATCTCTTTGAACATTTATCACTACACGTTTTAATGATGTTTCAAATATTTTGTTTAATGTAAGTTTTATTGAAACAAGTAAGATTTTCCAAAAGGAACAATTATTGAATGCTATTATTATACATTTAAATAAAATTGTAAACTAAGTCAAACTACTTCCGACTACGTGCTCTATATATTACCTTCTAACTCCTTCCTAATAGCCTCCAGAGCTATATCCGTCGAAGATGTGGTAATAAAGGATATTTGCATGTTTGAATTTCTTATGAACGTGGTAATATCGTCGTAAATTGTGGTTACCGACAAGGGAGCCTTCGATATTGATTTGGAGATTTCTTCGTTGCCTGCTAAAATAAGGATTACTGGAAACCTGAAAGCAATAATGAATTATAGTTGTTATAAGATAGAAATTATACCCTAGCACAAAAAATGGATATCGATCCAGATGTTATGCTTGCATAAATTCGAATAAAGGCGCCCCTGACACCTGAGATATTTACGCGGAATATTGTAGCAGAAAAGAGAAGGAATATCGCGCAACGAAAAGGCTTTAATAAGGAGATTAATTAAAAGTTTATTTCTCTTGGGGGCATTCTGCAAAAATGCAGTCTGAAAAGCATCAACTCCTAGCCTAAGGGTAAAATAAAATTAATTAAAAAAAAAAAAAAAAACTATTAGCATTAGCAAATTCTTAATGGGAGTTCAATAATTATTGCGGTCACTGAATGTCATCTCATTTCCTGAACTTATTAGTTTTCAATATAATGTGAAATAACCCAACAAATGTTTTCTCAAAGGTTTTTCCCGGTAGGTATTTACCAACGTGAAGACAAGGACTCCACAGTCCATCTTTGGGAATTTATCCGCAAATCTGCAGATGGAAGATTTCTCCTCAACCAGTCCCTTTCACGTTTCGTCCTTTTTCGGACTGAGCTAGAAATAACTAGGTACTCAAAGGAAGGTGATACGCTTATTTTCATTAATGACATTACAACGGGAATGCCATTTTTGATAATAGCCGAACCCCTTTTGAAATGATGTATATCCTTTTCCAATTCAAGATTCTTTAGGAGTAGTAGTTGTGACTTCGGGGTTTAAAATAGAAGTTGAATTTTGTATAAAAACTTTCACGTGTTTTCGGGCTTTTTTCTAAAATATTCCGTTTCTGAGATAACGGGAGTGGCAAGTTTTCAAATCGTGACAACCTGTGAGCACGGCTGTCAAAAAAAAAAAAGAAAAAATTTCACATTTTTACGCCTGTAGGAAAAATATTGTACCTAACACTTGCGGAAAATATTTTACATTATTGTTATTAATTAACTAGCAAGTTTTAAAATTGCAGCAATCTTGATCGACGCAATAATGCTTATACAAACAACTCCCGGTGGATAAAGAGCATCGGGTTAACAAACTCCAGAATCATCACATAGTTCCAAATTACGTATTATATATAACAATAACTTTACGTATAAATAGCGTCTCATTTCAATTAATAAATCAGTATGAAACCTCTTCTGGTGTATTCCTCACATACCAAAACACCCAAGCCTATATCCAGAGTGTGAGGTTGCACTCTAGACAAAAAACCCTTCACAGTTGTCACCTCTAGCAGGGCAATGTGAATATACCTAGTGACAGCAAGGTAACCTTAGTCAAAAGGGCCTTATTGTCAAAAATTACTGAGAGGTTATTCCCATATCAAGGAAATCCTTTTCATGGTCCTTCGAGCAAACAGTTGTCTCTTCAACTACTAAAAACAACAGGTATATTTAGGTGCTTAACAAGGTGAAATAAATTTTTGAAATTTGTCGGCGTTTCTATCACAAAAGAAGGCAAAGTTGTTAATAGAAGCCTTTGGATGTTCTCATAATTATTAAAGTATAAGTAATATCGTTATATATAGTTTTACCTATCTCAGTCGATGTAATAATAAAATAACGACAACAAACAACTTAAAATACATACTATACTCACAACATCAAAATAAGCAATACGTGCAACAAACGTCCCAAAGTTTGCTCGGTCGTCCGCCTCGTGCCGTCAAGGGAATCATTGGAGAGCTCCTCATTCAGACGTCTCATGTTTGTCGGAAAGCAAAAAAAAACCATAACTCCTACTGGGAGACATAGGGAGAGTATTGCCCAGAAAATTATCCATAGGACGACGAGAATTTCTAGTTTTATCACCTAGAACATGAGTTTACATAAGTATATTTTGTTTTTCTAGTTGAATCAAAATAAATATCTTATTATTATATTGTGTCTTCGGGTCGGAGAAAAGGAACGAGTGTAAATTTATAAAAATAGAAAAAAAATTTAAAATTTTGTTTGAACTTCGATCAATATGTATATAAGCAATCTCAGTTTAAGAAAGTTAGAGCAATAACATTATTTGGAAGTAATTTATTGTAAACGAATGAAAGGATTTTGCTGTTAAAAGAACTATCGCTAAAAGATTCCAGGGAAGTTTCGCAGTTGAAAGTTAGGCGCCATCGGTTTTTTGTTCCGAGTCCAATCAAATTAAACTTGTTTGGAAAATTCGAATCAATCGATAAAGAGAATAGATAATATTCACATTCAGTTTGATCAACTTTAATTCAAGATCACTGAAAAAGCCAACGATATTCTTGAACAGAATTCTCAGGCAAAAAATGTATTCAAATCACAAAAAGATAACTTCATTGCCCTTGAATCAAGTTTCAGGAAATAAGTTTTGCCATTCCTATTTGTGAAGAAAGTTGTAAATTCCATATTTTTGTTGGGCAAAATCAAACTCCTGGATTAAAAATTCGCCGACGTTTCGGCCTTATATTAGGCCTTCTTCAGGCCGAAACTTCGGCAAATTTTTAATCCAGGAGTTTGATTTTGCGTCCTAAACCTCACTATCTTCATCCACTACTTCTAAACCAAGGACGCGAATATCTAAACCAATGGAATCAATTTTATGAGATTTCTACTTGCGTGTGGGATAAAAGAAGTCTCAAAATCTTTGAAATTGATGAGGATTTGCCCCTTAAAAAACCTATTTATAGGGGAATACTTCGAGGGCTGTTGAAGGTTTGGAGATTAGAAGATAGATCTGAGTTTGAAAGAATCATAATATACACTCGCCGGCACAAAATTCCGCCACCCTGAATTTTCTGTCAAGTTTTATAACTTTTTTATTTTCCATCCGATTACCGTGATTTTGTTATGAGTTTGTAGATCTATTTATTTTGTTTTTTTCTAATTATTTCATAAAGTATAATTTTTCGATTACACTATGTTATACAAGAGTAAAGCAAATTTTTGTTCCTGGTCGTAACTTTGAAACACCCTGTAGGAAAATTGAGGTGTATAATTTTATTTACATACTGTTTGTGGTTATCTTTGATGTATTTTAAACATTTCGTTTTTTTTGATTTATTCCATTATCTCGTTTCTGCTGTGAGCTGCAATTTTTTTTATAAGAACGATGTTATTTTTAAAAATTGTTGGTCAATCTTTCGATTGAGAATTATCGACGTAGGCTAACGCTATTATTGTGACAGAATGTTTACAGACGAGAAATTTTAATAGGCAGCAAGCCTCTGGCAGAAGGAGAATGACAACTGCAGATGATGATCGCTTTGTCATTGTTAGTTCTTCAAGAGATCGAAGATCTACTGCGGTGTCACAGCGTTCTGTCTAAAAAATGACTTGCTAATGATTCGTCGAGAAGGTACATGTAAGTGAAAGAACTATACAAAGATTGGTAGAAGCTGGGCTTCATTCACGAAGGCTATCAATATGTCTACAATTACTTCCTCGGCATTGATGTCACGAAGACTGCAAACTCTCATTTCTGCGAGAGTTGGTGATATACCTACGTTATTGAAATTGTATTTGTCAAGGGCACGTTAATGACATATGAAATCTGTTGTCGTTTCTGTTTATCGGGAACATGCTAATGACTCCGGAGTCCACTGCTACTTCTGCTTTTTAATGTTCTCCTAACTTGTTTCTTCACCCCTATTTTATTCTACTTCTGACGCACTGTTGTCCATATTTATCACATCTTCTGAATCTCCATTGACGTCTTCCATAGGCGCGCCTTCTGTCCACAGGTCGTTGTAAGGCAACATCCTACTTACGTTGTCCGTATCTCTATTCTTCTTTTTGCTTCTAATTTTTTCTACCTCATAATTTATTTCTCCCATTTACTTAATAACTTTATGGTCCAAACCATCTCAAAAGCAGCTTGTCGCTGGTGCTAACCTTTCTGATTGGGATAAATACTTTCACTTTGTCTCCTATCGCCAAATGTCGCAACTATATCCTATCGTGACGGGGTACGTAGCGTAGGGCCGAAGAATAGAGGTTATAAGGTTATAATTATTAGTAATTACCAAAGGATACCAGAGGGGCTTTCCCAAGAGAGGTAATTGCACTGGACGACACGAAGACTGAAGACACTCAGATGAGCTTTCCCAAAAGAGGTAATTGCGCTAGTTCAAGTCTGCTTCTCGGTGTGTTGCCGACAACTATTTTTACTCGTTTATCGCTGACTCGCCAATCAATAAGTCGGTCAATCATTTTCCTGAGGAGCTTTGCTTCTTGACAATAGAGACAATTCAGACATTTTGACCGAAACCGATTTTCTAAGTATTTAGTGCGTTGTACTTTAAATCAAAGTCAACATAATCAGTCAATAGTCTAAATCAATATGCCAAGTCGTTTTATTTCCTTTATTTAACACTTGCTAGTAATGAGTCATTTGTGCCAGTTTACAGTGTATTTTTTCCCAAGATAGATTTTCACAATGACAACTTTAAAAAATAAACAATGCCGCTTGTTGGTCGCAAGATGCCGTGTACCTACATTCGACGAAGGTAACGTTCTCCAACCATGTAAAAGGACACCTCACCTGCAAGGACACGGCATTTTGCGACCAATCTGAGCCAGGCGGTATTGTTCATGTTTCAAAGTTGACAATGTTAAAATTTAACTTGGGAAAAAATAGACTGTAGACAGGGAAACTATCAAATAACACACTAGTGTGTTATTAACCATAACCCACTAGTGGATTAGGGCTTATAACTCACTCTCTTAGAACGTCAACGCGAAACTTCAGAAAAAAAAAACTATAAATCCTGCTTTAAAAAAAACTAACAATCACAATGAGTGCATTTCTTGCAATCTTTTTGTCTATAGAAATTCGGTATACAGGACCATTAGGATCAGAGAAATTTCGTGAATTAAAGAAAGAACTTTCAAATAAAACTTATTATTACAAAATAAATGATGGGTCGAGGATTTACAATGTTAAAAATTATTCACGATACAGGCATAACACTTGAAAAATAAATTTTGGGTGGGTAGCAATTTTTTTATTTCTGGATGACGACGAGCTTATGTGAAGAGGAGCAATTCAAGAGGAAAGCGATCAAGTGTTAGGTCCCCAATCTCAAGAGACTACTTCTATTCCTAGGGTCGTGAAAAATGATATAAAAATTTTAGCTAGTTTGTGTTAAAGAAAAAATGCATTAATACTGCAAAACATGTTCAATTCATCTTTGTTGTTTTTTCAGTTTATATGCTCATTAAAATGAACATTTTTTGTGGAAAAAATCTATGAACTTTGTCATCATTTTTATTTAGTCTCGAACGTATGTCTTAGCAATATTTTTCTTTAATTTTGTCAATGGAATGAACTTTAATGTCAAAATGTCATGTCAAAAACCCTGACCAATAAAGAATCAATAATGCGACGTACGTTTTCGTAATCAAAGCAATCTTTGATTTTTTTTTTTTTTGAAGACCCCTTACCTACATATGAATATAGCTTTCAGTTATATTTCGTACGTAGAGGGTAGAGGTCTATTCCAAACCAAATATAATTTAAAATAATATTTCCAAATTCGCTCTTTCCCTGCCTAATAAATATTTGCACGATTTATAGATTGCACCATTGATTGCACCTCATAATTATCACTAATCTAGCTAGTTTTAGCAATTAGAAATGCTCATAACCATGGGCGCCGCCAGGATTAGTTTCAGGGAGGTGCATACGGTCAGTGGCGGCGCGTGAATTGTTATATTGGTTCAAATTACTAATTTAAAAAGGTGAATGCCCGACGCAGGAGCTGCTGAAGGCGCGAAAATTTTTCCGGGTACCACGCCCAAAAACGGGGAGGTTTCAAAAAAATAATTTTTCTAGGTGATTATGTAAATTATATGATGTTTTCACCTCGGTGGAAAGTGGCACGGGCAGTGGCGGATCTAGGGACGAGTGGCCCTCAGGGCTAAATATATTTGGGGGCCCCTAGGCCTAACCTATCCCTTGAGCAGTGGCGCACCCAGAAAATATGATTATAGGGAATGGGGGGACCCTACAAAGGTTGTGGCTTGTGTCTTAAAATCTAAATAAAAAATTGACGTGTCATGGTGCTGCGTCATGTCAATTTTTTTTTGTACGTAAAAATACAATTTTGGACGGGTGGCCTAGGGGGGGGGGCCTGGACCGATGCTCCCCCTGGGTGCGCCACTGCCCTTGAGTGTCACGTAAAAAGTAGGAAAATGAAAATGCGGCCTGGAAATGGTGGTAATAAAATCACAATATATGGACGGTTGGGTCGGTCTGTGTTTCTCGAAATTATGGTCGGATATATTCGGAATATTTCGGAAGCACGCTCAGCGTTGCCAGATCCTCTCAACCACAGAAACGAATATTATTAGGCATGGGCGGTATGGTAAATGCTATTTTAGAAGATAGGGATTGCGTCCTTATTGAATGTAGCTTAATTAATATGTTATTATATTTGTTTCGCATGTATGACATTTTTTCCTATATATTCGAAATTTTCCGCAGCATCGTGGGGCCCTTTTGGACCGTGGGCCTGGGCTGGGCGGCGCACCTACCTATCTGCCCGGTGATATGTCCGTCCCTGGGGCCTTATTCTGTAAAGAACGAACCGTTCGATTCGGAAGAATTTCTTCGATTGTGACGTCATTTTCGGCATTTTCGGAATAGCTTCCGCGCTAGCAAACCGAAAATGACGTCGCAATCGAAGAAATTATACCGAATCGAACGGTTTGTTATTTACAGAATAAGGCCCCTGGGCACGGGCTTCTCGCAATTTAATACTTTTTTCGACCTACCAATTTGTAGAAGTTAATGAAATTTATATAATTAAACTAGAATTTGAGTAGATTCGAAATTCCCGCCATTCTACAGGTTGATGGCGCGAAATAAAAATAAAATAACCCGATCCGAGCCGGAAGTGAGCCGAGGAATGTCGCGGGGAACAAAGAGTCCGAGGGGGCCATCGTTTCTCGTTTCGCCAATTTTTTCAAACAGTAACTATTAAAAAAATAATAATAATAAAATATTAATAATTTTTTCAATGTATTTCTGACAGGGGGGTGCAAGTGCACCCCCTTGCACCCTGCTGCCGGCGCCCATGCTCATAACTAGTTCTGCCTAATTTGTGTATATTCAATAATGAAATTCATTGCATTGTCCGAATTTGAGTATCGAAACTAACCAGATATGGCATTGAACAAAGTGGGACATATCCAAAGTTACTCTAATATTTTATTTATTATTTTACCTATGAGCGTGCGGTAAAGTGTACTTTACCGTACGTATTTGAAAATGGAAAGTATCACTTTACCACACACTATGCGGTAAAGTTAACTCTACAGCAAAGTGTGCGGTAAAGTTAACTTTACAGCATAGTATGCGGTAAAGTGGACTACAAAGTGTGCGGTAAAGTGCACTTTACCGCATAGTGTGCGGTAAAGTAGAATTTGATATTTATAATCAAAATTCCTTTCTTCTTCAGAAAATGGATTTTTGATCATTTCTAAATTTAATCTTATTTCATTAATTAATCTGATTCATTAATTAATTTTATCAATGCTTTTTTTGGAGATGTAGATGCTCATAGGTAAAATTTTGTACCTAACACATGCGAAAAGTGCCTTTACCGCCCTTAACGGCTTGACCGAACTCCGCTTCGCGTCGTTCGGTCAACTGCCGTTGCGTGCGGTAAAGTATCACTTCCCGCATTTGTTAGGTAAATAACTATTTCAATGAAATCTCTCGAAAGTTCATTGTGGTTTTACCGCTTCGAATAATTAAAACAACCACTGAATATCCAAAGTCGTAACTATTTTTGGACAAGCAGTAAGATCTTTGTCAGCAATAATTCGGATTCAAATATTCAGATTGTAACCCCTTTTGTTAACGAATTAACTAGAGACCTATAATATGCTCAAATTGCTCAGCGCATAATTATTAGGTGTGGGTCAATAGTATGTACAGAATGTTAAGGGCACTACTGAATTTGTAAAAATAAATAAATAAATATATGTAAACTATTGAATAGGGGGGGGGGGGGGGGGGAAAATTCAGAAACACACCTCAATAAATCATTATTTGAAGATAATTGATTAATCTGAAAAAGAAAAAAATAATAAGGCACACAACTCAACCAAATCTTGACGTAAGTAAAACCATTAAAGTAATCCAAAATTTTCAAATTAAATTGCTAGTTGTAGCAAGCCACAGGTGCGAAAAAAGGAACAGTAGCATTTTGTATGCTACAAGATGTGAATTGTGAACTACGCTAAAAATTGTAACTTTCAACAAAATTACTCCAAAAAAAAATAGGGTGAATATAGCTATTCTTCATTTCATTCAAATGGCATTCTTTGTTTTAAAAGATTAGGGATTTCAATATTTCTCTTATTGTCGTTACCTGGAAAATCCATAAATGCGAAGAATCTGTGTCCCTGAAAGCATTGCGGATGGCACCTGTAAGAAAGAAAGGCATGAATGGCATTAGTATTTTTTCAGTGGATATACACGTACAATTTACATTAATGACTAGTTTTTTCTTGTCTTCGAATCATTTTGACGAATATAAAATTCGTCATTTGCTTTTTTATACAATTTTTATGGTGAAATTAAAGTTTACCAATCATCAATTATCCGAAATTTATAGTAAGACCCATTTTTGCGGAATTATTATTTTTTTTTTTCAGAAACAGAATATTTAATATGTAAATTTCTCTTCATTTCAATATTTTTCAGCTGGCAACATTTGTTTAATGTGTGTCGGAGTACTAATTGAACCTTTTTTGCTGAGTAATCTCGGCACGTCCACGTAAATGCCCCCAGTGGATCGGAATGTCCGATTTATAATAAATGTTTGATAATTTTTTGTCGTTTTCCCATGGATGATATTTGAAAGTTGTCTTAGTTCGAATGTTCATTTTATAACGATAAAGAACTACCTGAATGAATATGCAAGAATAATATGGATTATAGTTTGAGCTACACTCTCATTGGTCTAGTCAATTCTTGCTGTCTGGATTTTGCCACATACTTTATGTTTCTGGTCGTAGTCTATCCATTACACATAGTAAGTTTTTCAATAAACTTCAGCTTGCCGGGAAATGCTCTCCCACTTTACTTGTCCTTCAACAATAAAAATAACTTCTTGCCGCAATTCTGGGTTTGAAATTTCGATGAAACCAGTTCTGCATCACATGTCGTTTTCAATTGATACCCCACTGGACACTGGTGCTGAATGATATCTTATTTTGTGATGATATAAGTCCCCTAATCAGAGGGTTCCAAATGAAAAAAAGGAAAGAATTTATGTAACTTTTTTTTTTTTTTTTTTGGGAAGAGGGTCTCAGAACAGCCGCCATTATGAAGAAATATGGAATATTCTGACTGCTCTGGTGTGAATAAAAGGTTTTGTTGTGATAATAATGCTGAAAAATCGCCAGACGGTAATCATAGTTCGAAATCGAGTTTTCTGGCGAAATATTCTGTGGAAATTTCGAACAGAGGGCAGGCATTAAAACCTACTATATTCTCATCAGCTAACTAGCCACATTCATCCCTCAAAATGCCAGACAAAAAAAAATGACTTCACTAAACAGGCCCTATTCCAGGGTCTATAAGGCTGCGGTTAGGGCAGTTTAACATTGCCCCCGTCATTCCTAGACAGATTACCCTTTGTACCTTCTTTAGTTTGATCTGAGCGGTGACCTAGTCAATTTTTGGCCATCACGCTAATGGGATATATGTTACCATTGGCTTTAATTACAGTCTTGTAGATACAGTATATCACTCTAGGTTTGAGCTTCCATGTCTTGCCCACAAGTTTGCGGCATCTCCAGATAGCCACTATCGCTCAAGTGATAGTTCTCTTTAGGTAGCTGTTCCAGAGTTTGTGATCCAATATGAGCCCTGATTATTTCACCTTGTTGGAAAATGTTAACGTTCCATTAAGGGTAGGTGCACCGGATTTACAGGTTTCTCCTTCTCATGAACGGAACTAAAATAATCTTGCTCAGCTTCAGAATAGTTCCTCATTATCGCTCTAGTGTTCAATGATGTTTAAGGTAGCTTGCGTTGAGCTGGTGATAATGTCTTCGTGCTAATCCTTGGTTATTATCATCAGGGTCATTCACGTAGCATAGGATCATTGAGTCCAGATCTGCCCAGCTTGGTTAGGATGGATGCTATCGACCACTAGCTTCCACAGTAAGGGCGAGAAAACGCCCCCTTGGGGACACCCTTTGACTGTAGATACGGTTATTGATATTGCTTCGTTTATTCCAAAGCTAACCGAGCTACAATAGGCCGTTTGGAGACATACAACGAATACTTCCAATATTTTAACTAGGAATAGACATGAAATAGGGAAGAATTGTATCTCTTAGAGATAGACTCTTCGATAAATTAATCATATATAATACACAATTGACTTGGAATTTAATCAATTTGTTGTTCCTTATTAATTTACCGCTTAATTAAATATTTGCTTGCTCTATACAGTTATACTAGCAAGTCTGTTAAAAAAAAATGCAGAATGGTTTAATTATTAAATAGCAATTGTTGACTTATGCTGGTTTTGATTGATTTTATCGGAAAAAGCGCATCTATGTGTGAGCTAATATTTATTTTACATAAAACAACGAGATTTGGATTGGAACTCTTCCACCCTCACAAACCTCTGCACAATTTTCCGGAGTGATAACATATGCCACATGATTACCTACTTACATAATAATAATTTAGAAATAGTCTCTTGCTTTCATCATCAAAAGTGTCATGGGGTACAATAGGCCCCCTAACTAATAGCCACTTCCGAGGTAATTTACACAATCGGTTAAGTTTTTTTTGTTGATATTCACCGCTTACACTAACTGTCCCAGTGTTCACTCAGTGTCCAGACTAGTATCCGCAGCAGTGCCGGCCCGAGCCTACTTTTAGGATGGAGCGAGATCCGAGTTTGGCGCCCCTAATTCAAATGTGAATCGTACTCGCATGAACTTTGCCCAAAACTTATGTCCCTATCTATCTTATCAATTGAAATTTGACAACATCCATCTTCATTAGTACCGTTGGTATCTACCAAGTATCTACTCTTTTACTTTTGAGAGTGGATTTAAAGTTGGATGAAAAACAAATAATGAAAATTTAAAGTTTTGTGAAAAATGTATTTATTTATTAAAATATTCACTTTTTAAAGAGATCACCACTTTAACAATAAGGTAGGCAGCCCACTTTTTTACCAACATTTGTTGAACATTCATTGATGAGATCAATCAATAATCAACTGTGGAAAATTAATAATTAACGCTTATGAACATAAAAATCGTACAAACAAAATACAAAATTTTAGGTAAATCGCTGTTTGGGCACTTTTGTATTTGCAAATTTGCATGATCTCCCCATATGACAATGTCTGAGCTATATCATATCCAATGGACAGCAGGGCCATATCAGAAAGGTTGTCTTCTGCCAGAGTTGACCCCTAAGGTACGTTTTAATTAGCCTAAGCTTGCTAAAGCTCGGCAGGCCTATTCTCTATGAACAGCAACTACATAGCAACCAGCAACCGGTCGCTAGTTGCTTTTTTTGAATAGAAAACTTGCGTCAAATAGCGATTTGACAGCGACAATAGACCTATCTCGCATGATTAGAAAAAGAGACCTTGATTGTAATAAATACAAGTTAGAAAGCAATAAAAGATGACATGCGCGCGCAACTCGTAGGCTGCAGTGTAGCCAGATTGTATTGTTGCAGAACAAATGTAGACAATACAAATCGAACATTATAACATTAAAGAAGTGATATAGTGTCAAGTGTTTTCCAACGCTTTAAAGTGAATGAACATCGTTTGCACTTTTATTTTGATAAATGTTTCATCCGGCAACATCGCTCAATGAAATTGCAAAGGAATATGTCAAGTATAATCTAACATAACCTTAAACGAAACTGCGGTGAGTTCAAGTAATATGTAAAGTATTAGTTTGCTCTTTGTCAAATTACACGTTACAAGGAAAGAAGGAACGATTCATTCTGAACTGACCCCTGAATAAGAATATGACGCAAGCCTGTCACAAACTTGCTTCTCATTGGACGCTCACCTGCAGCCTACAAGCGACGCGCGCAGTCCAGGTAATAGGAGATCGGTCTATTGCGCAATGGCAGCAAATATCCAGTAGGGTTCTCCAAAATTTTGTAGAGGGCGCGAGTGAACTTGGAGTGCTTCAAATTTTGGCGGTAAATGTCAATAGTTTTAAACCGTTTAAATTGAGTAGAAGGAAAGATGACTACAATATGAACAATGGACAATGAATAAGTTAAAATATCTTCCAAAGCATTCAGTGGCCCTTAGAGAATATTTTTGAAAGTGTCAGCGTCAGTTTGTCTGGAAACCACACATCAGACTTAACTTTTGAGGTTAAAATTACAATCAATTATTTACGCGCCAAAATTTAAATAGCTCCAAGTACAGAAGCGCCCTCTTCAACTCAACTGTCAATATTACATGCCATTCTCTCGGTCGCAAGTTACAGAATAAGGCTGCCGTTCACCTTTCGCCGCCCTAAGTGAGCGCATTCATACCAAAGTAGCATGCAACGTGGGACTTATTGCTGCTAGGAAGCAGGAGGCATGAAAACAACTATCAATATATGTATAGATATGACACATGTTGCCACGTCGCATTTTTGCGACGCTACTCCGGTGTGAAACCTGCCATATATTCCAAAAGATTATTAGGTATAGTTGAATTCACGATAGAGTTTGAATTTTGACCTTTAATTCTACCAGTTGAAAGTAAATAAAATCCCCAGATCTGTCCCTTTTTTTGTCAACTATCAAATAATGATACATGACATTTCGACATATAAAAATATCAGATTCGGATCTTTGAATTTTGAATTCCGAATTTTTGTGTGAAATTGTTTTTGTTTTTTGCCGTTTTCTGCATTATTTTTTGATATTTTGTTATATTCGCAATCGGTTTTTTTGTTTTTTTTTTATGTAGTATTCTGTGCCTTTGTGTTTCGGTGTTGCGTTTCAAACCTCTGATATATCACTTTTCTAAATACGACCCTGTCGTTTATCCCAACTGACGGAATCAAAGCTCTAACACATGCTGGCAACCTGAAGAAAAAGTTATTAGAAATGTTAATACGAACTGTCAACTTCACATTCTATCGTGATTTCAACTATAGATAGCATGCTTCTTACTTTTTAGCAGCAAGTCGCACGTGGCATGCTACTTTGGTGTGAATGCTCACTAACAGGAATGGTTACAAAAAAAAGGGAGCTGTCTAGATATTAGGGAACTTTATCTTGCCAATTAGTTAAGGCTAAGGTCTGAAGGACTGCTTTTTGGTGACCTCTATTACTATCTAAAAATTTCTCCAAATAGGTACCATCGTCACCAAAACTGGGACAGCATCACATTAACTCTTGTCCTTTTATATGAATTTTATTGTCAAATATTTGTCAAACTATGAATTAAATGCATTGAAATGAATGACACTAGAATTAGTCCAGGAGATTATTATACATTATTTGTGTCCCAGATACTTTTGGTGACGATGGTACATTATTTCTCTTTTAGGGCCGGTTTATTCACCTTGTTTTGATAAACTGTCAAACAATGCAATCTGACGGATAAAAAGGCAATCTGCAATCCCTTTGGTCGGCCAGTTATCCGTTGACCAATACGATTATAGATTCATGCATTTGTCTTGCAGACAGTCACCAGAAAATTTATTTGGGAATGAAGGAACCGGGCCTAAACGTTCTATGGGATTCACATACTAATCACAGCTTTCTCGCAAGCAGAATAGCAGGATATCGAAGAGCGAAGACAGGATTCAAAGCATCAGAAATATATATTTCTTTTTTTTTTATCATCAACGACTCGGAGGTGCCCCCCGAGGTCTGGCGCCTGGAGCGCTCGCTCCGTTCGCCTTATGGTAGGGCCGGCCCTGATCCGCAGTAGTCTGCACTATTCTGCAATCGGATTTCACTTTGCAGTTCTCGAATTATATCTCACTTCTGACACCAATGTCACGGCTCTGGCGTGCGAGACAGAAATCTTGGGTTCGTTTATTTTAAAATCAAAGTCCAATTAACACAACAATAATTTATTTCACGTTACTACACACTCTGACACTAATTACTTCACTAAATAACTCAAACAACTTATCTCTTTACAACTTTTAGAATAATCACTATCTAAAACGTATCACAGCAAATCTTAAACTTAAAACTACTAGCTAATACCCTGCCTTTATATATCTGTAATCCATTCTTGTAGAATCCAGAATAAACGCGATTATCTCGTTTCCCGAATAAGCAGTAGGTATTTTCTAGATTTCAAGTTAGATTCTGTACTGTTTGGCGAAGGCGCCACCCTGACAATATGTTTCCCGAAAACTGATATTCAACATCGGAGCAGGTATTCAGATGCGAAACTAACTTTTACGAAAATAATAGGACCAAATAATGCACTTCGAATCTTTTAACTCTGTGAGCTTTTTTTTAAACAGATACATCAATCATTATTAGTTAGATATCCAATATTTTATCGGTGAAGTGGCAGTGCTGCATATTTGGTAACAACCTCGCAAGTCAAATTAATTGTTATGGTAATGTCATCCTAACCAGCGGAGTAATCCTAATTTATCTCTGAAAAACAATAGCTATCCATTGACAGTCTCTCTCTGTATCAACCTAAAACAGAATTGCTTGGTTAATAGATATTCATTGAGATCCAATTTAATCCTCGCCATGCGTTCGCCATTGAATCATTGTAGAAATTTCCCGAACGGCAATTGCATAAGCTTTGGATCGTTTTATCCTCTCTGAATTGACCCGGACTTGATTTTCATACCAAACGAGATTGGCCCTTTTGATGTTTTTCGAATGGCTAGACCTTGTTGTTATTGCTTTTCAAGATAATTTTAACCTAAAAGGTTTACTAGTGCTATCCATTTAAAAAATCCGATTTTGACTGCTTTTAGAGGTGTAATTTTTGATTGGGTTATTGATGGTTCCAGGCAAAACCAATTAGTTTCAATTAACAGAGCCGATTCTTCGAAACTTTTATATTTATTTGTATCAAGAAAACCAGGAATGTTTGCATTTATATTAGGTGAAATTCCAGGACTTCTGAGAAATTATTCTCGGAAACAATAGAATCCCTGTGCTGTCACGTTCTAATAATTTCTGCAAGTAAATTAAATTATAACTTTAATTTTGTATTTTCTAGAATTATATAAAATTTCAAAAAGAAAGGTTTATTTAATAGAATCCAGAAAAAGAAAAGAATGTCCGGGATAATATATCTCGCATCCATATGTCGGATTTTGACCCGAGTTAGTGGGTTTGCCAAAGGCACTTTATAAAAGATTTTATTGCGCTCAAGAGTCGAATAAAGAGTCTCAAATATCACCCGACCGGAAACATTTTCTTTGAGATTTTCGACTGTTTAGAATGAGCTCATTGAGGTTTATTCAAGTATCTTATTTTATACCTTTTTTCGGAAACATAAATTGCAATTTCAAACGAATGATGATGATAAGACAAGAAAAAACTTTAATCTGAAAATTAGATATTATATTTCTCAATAGATGTTACATCCTTCGTACTTCTAATAAATTGTTTCATTAGAACTAGTTATTTCCCAGGTCTTTCATCGAACCACTCTCATTTTTCTTTACCGGATAATCTAGAAAGGATCTTTTTTGTGCTACTTAGGTGAGAGTCTATTACCCTTATTTATTTTCCTTCTAGCCGTGTTAATGGCTCTAGGTGTAAATGAATTGTGGAAGTTGTTTCAATTAATCTGTAAGACGTAATTCGAAACAGTGATAAAAACCAATTGCTTCCGCAAGAACAGTTTCTGCAATTATATTTGGAGTCTTTATTTATTTTCCTGAAAATGTCTACTTTATACCAACAAAAATCAATTTATTTGTTCAAGGTATTTAAAATTTTACTATAAATTACTGCCGCAATATCCGTAATGTTACCTATAGGAAATTCGCCTGGAAGTAAATATCCCATTAAGCCGGAGAATGCCTCGAAAAGCAGGAGCTCATTTTCGAGTTGCAACTCATGGATTTTTAAGTCGTCTCCCGTAGGAATATCCAGAAACTGCAGTCGAAAGTTCTGTATAGTGTGCCGCGTCAAATTGTCGTTTCTGAGTTCTTTCACCTTCTGCTGTTCCGATCTAATTGAGATGGCACTATCTGTTCTGAAACTGAAATAAAATCTAAACTGAATTTGAATTATGTGAACTAATTGGGTATAGAGTATAAAAATAACGTTTAATACCATGGTCTTCAATTTTCAATATTAATCTTAGAGAGTCAGTTAAGTTTACATATAAAAAGCTTGTTTCCCATCGATCCCGTACCTACCTGGATTTTTTTTAATTGAAGGTCAAGGCATATTCCACGATATATTGTGATCCTATTTAATAGGGTCGTTACCTCCTGTTATTAAAATTATACTGACCATTATTTTTCGATATAGTGAGGCCTAAAACTTGGCCATGTCATATTGGTTTTATTGAAAATTGTTTCCTGCATTATTTAAATTAATTTAAAATTTAAACATTTTTTGTCCTTGTCGAATTGTTTGTCTCTTTCTCCCATGACGTCACTAGGCGGGCATGCGCAAAGCAGTTGTAAACAAATCCATCAACATATGCAATTTTGTGAGGTTATGTTGTTTTGTTATTATTTTGGATTGTCGTTGATCCTTGTTATATTTTCATTATTTTTTGAGTTTTCAACGTTTTTTCCGAGGTTTCAAGAAAAATATTTAAAAGAAACGTGTAATAAATTCAAGGTAAGTCATTGTTTCTCATTATTTGATGTTATTAAGGTCTCAAATAGAGCATGCATTTCAGTTTCAGTGTACCCACCTAAGTCCTACCTACTGTTCACTATTTGGCTATGGATTTTCGTAAATGTTTTGTTCCTTCTTGTAAAAACAGTAATCTAAATTCGAAGAAAATCTTTATAGCTGTACCCAAAAATGAACAAAAAGAAGAAGTTGGTGTTTAGCTGTGGAAAGAGTTAATGTATTGTCTAGTATTTCTGGTGGAATTTATTGCTGCGAAGATCATTTCAATGTAAGTAAACTTAGTTGCCAAATTTCATTTTATACACACCTATTTTCTGTTTTACATTATTTCAAAAAAATGAACATTATATTATGTTTATAGATGGAACAAGATTGTGATAACTAGATGCAGTTTAGGATGACAAACTGCAAATTACTTATGAAGAAAAAAGTGGTTCCACATATTAATTTAGGCAGAATCCGAGTTTGTGAAGAAGCTGAATAAAAGAATTGCCAGCTTACGAATCCATATTGAAAGAGTGATACAAAGATTGTGAGAATTAACAATACTCGAAGGACATTCCTGCGTTGACCATCAGCTTGTGGCAAAAACTGATTATTTAATAATTATTGCTTGTGGAATAGTGAATTTGCCATTAATCAAATAAATTTTATGTCGAAGCTAGAAAAAAATCCTTTTTTGAATATATTGGATAAAAAAAATACCTATTACTTTTTTTTACTGCCAAAATAGTACATTATACACCTAGAGACTAAAGTGGTACTTTTAATCCCGAAGTGAGGGCTATAATTTGTTGAGGGATTAAAAAACACTTTAGTCCTGAAGTGTATACACTATCATATGCACTTTAGGGATTAAAAATTAAAAGGGTACTTTTGATCCCTCTAAAGTACATAAAATAGTGTATACATCTCAGGATTAAAGTGTTTTTTATTCCCTCAACTTTGGAGTACCCATTTACTCCACGGGAAATGAAGTAAAAAGTTAATCCCTTGGGAAATAAAGTGAAATTTAATCCTGGGGATTAAAAGGGTACTTTTAACGCATAAATAATGTGAAGAAGAAAACTACCAGACTCCCAAATCAATCATATATTTTTATTCAAAATGACTGAAAATACATTTTTCTTCCAAAATTCTTCAGCTGATTCAATAATTACTTTAATAAACCTAATGTTTAAGTCTAATTAAAAAATTGTCACTTCATTATCCTCTCCAAATTTGGGACTTGCCACACAAAACAGTCCTTTCTGTCTGTTACTCAATAACATTTGTAACTGAAGACTGAAGTTGGCACATGTATTTCGTCATTATATTTGCATTTTCCTTAACCCTCCATTAGGCGCGCCAGTTTTCATAACATCATTAGTCGCGCTGTATCACAGAGATACATGTACTAAATCATTAATAAAAAAATTGAACGATCTGATGAATTTTTTTACTGAAAAAAAGATTCCAGAAGTTGGATTCTGTTTTCACAGTCGTTGCACTTTGGCCAACAACGCCCGGCAGCTTTACCATATTATGTGGTCTCTTCCGAGTCAGCTTGGGAGGAATTTTGTCTCATCCAGTTACACCTTCTCCGAACATGAACAGCCTCTTGTATCATAATATTTATGTAAAAAAAATTCCAAAAAACAGTTACAATTCAGGACCACCGATGGTAACAAGAAAAATCGCGTTGTATCAGTCAGGTACAAAGCCGAGCGCACCCCAAGTTTTATGGAAATTCCAAATTTCCATGTAGAGGTACGACCATGTAATTTCGGGAAAGTAATTAGTATAGGGTACCTAAGGACTACTACAAGCCATAATTTTATAGGGTTTTTCCTTTTTGATTTATTTCCAAAAATAATAGGCATGTATCTCTCAGATACACGCGCGACTAATGGAAGGTTAATGTAGTTTTTCACAGTCTCCTTCTTGCTAGGACATTAAACTTCAATCACAAATTCTTTGCTTATTCCATCTGGCGATGCTCCTAACAGAGGATATTCTGCTATCTCTTTTCAATACACATAGCCAATAGCATTGTCACCATAACTCTCGCTGACCTAAAAATATATGAAACTATAAAACTGTTACCCTGCTACTAAAAATGTAATATAATAATGGGCCAAAGCTAAACCAATACAATAATTATGCCAATATTTCACTACCCACCTTTAGGTTTTGACCTCGGTTTTGACTCCTCTTATTTCTGCACTTAAATAATCCGTATTTTTGACAGAAAACTTTTGCAACATCACATAATTTAGTTCAGGTAAATTTTCGCTGGAGGCTTTAATAAATCCACTATCCATCTTTTCACATAAACCGACCAAATAAACGGGTGAAATAAGTATTTATTTTTTATTTTATAAATCAACCAGACTAGACAGGTGAATCAAAATAAACAAAATAACTGACAGAACCTCTAAAAGAAGACAGAAGATGGGCCAGTGGCATTGCAGCCAACTAGACAACAGGAAATTTTGTCAGTGATGCAAACTTAAATTTAGAAATACAGTGCGCAAGCGCACCTTGTGAAGTCATTACAATTTAAAAAATAACGAATAATAGTAAAATTTCAAATTGAAATATCTCCCTTAATATTATTCTAAAAAATGCGGGAAAAAAACCAAGAATAGATTTTGATGTGCCTAATTCAATGAAAAAATAAAAAAAAATCATGAAACGACCCTATTTAGAACTATTGGCTTATCTACATTCTCTTATAAAATGCATAATAAATGAAATAACGGGTCTTCAAAAAAGATGGCTATGATTTTCGCAATGTCATGTCAAAAATCCAACAATAATGTGACGAACGTTTTTTTAATAAAAGCACTTTTTGAGTTGTTTTCTTTTTGAAGATTCCTTATTATTAGTTTTGCGCGTAGTGAAAAGTCTTTATTCCTTATATTTTCTATCCTATGTCGTTCTGTTTTTATATTTATACCGAAAGTGTCGGAATTTTGTTTTATTTGTAGTAAACTTTTAAGGGAAGGTAAAAATATTACTGTTGATCTTGGCATGAAGACATTTCTTAGATTTCAAAAACTTATTTCATTTTTATATTTTCGTTTAAGCCATTTACTTTATAGCTTTCTACCACTGAAATTTGATTTGATTATATCGTTTTGGGCTTGCTATAAATTCATATTTTGTAACAACCGATACGATAAACCTTGAAAGATATTTTAGCTTGTTTTCCTGAAGAAAGGGAGTTTCTTTTCTAGAGTTGCATCATGCAACCTTGCGCATCCCTTCCGTGTCTTCAAAGGAAAATAAAATTCCTTGCTCGAGCGCCCTCGAGGGCAGTAGGCAGTATAGTGCTAGCGGTACACATAGATATTCGGTAAAAAACGGCAAATTATGTTAAAAGCATAAATTTTGGTACACTTGTTCTTTATACCATAACAATTGATTTGGCCCGTAGCACTACCACACAACTGCCATTTGTTTATATTTATTTAAACAATTTACTCGATCTGTTAAGAAAGCACAAAATAGGCTTACCAGATGGCAATGTCAAATAAAATTCACATCGGAAGTTGATATAAAGGACGGACAGTTATGCTGACCCATCCAAAGGCCCATCCTGACCCAAGCCGTCATTTTGATTTTTTGTTTACACATATTGTTTATGCAAAATAATTGATTTTTCGGATATTGCATGTGGGGAATCGATTTCGACTAATTAGCGGTCAAGGATCTCGATTAATAACATTGGAACTCGTTTCCGCGCTTTTTTTTAATACTTTCGTGATAGAAATTATTTCGTCCTATGCGCGGCTCTTATGTGAAGTAATGAATTCAGTGCTAGAGTAAAGAAGAGCGGGAGCGAGGGCGACAGCTGACAGCCAGGTCCACACGATACGTGGCCTGGAAAGATGGAACCTGCAGGTGCTGCATTTCTGATGTGTTTTTAAATGTCGCTTTAAAGACGAGATGAATGTTTAAACAATAATAGTGAATGTATAATTTAAATAACTTGTGCTGTAGTCTGAGTAAGTTCAAATATTTAAAAATTACTCTAGCAGGTTATTTAAAAAATTGTGTATATTATATAGTTCGGTTTTATAAACAAAAAAGTGTAGAATTGCAATGGGGAAATGTAAAGTGGTGCTTTCTTCATCCGCTTCTTTGGATTCCGTGCAACTAAACTGGGACGCATGCTGTCTTTGCCAAATAACAGGCACAGGCCTTACATGCCCCGCTAACAATCCTGTAGCTTCGAGAAGAAATACTGGCTACCAAACTTTAGCAGATAATTTAAAGACAATTATGCCATTTGAGAATTTCAAACTTGAATCTGGTTTTCCTTTAAAATTTCATATAGTCGACACAGGCATTTTTACGTCTCTCAAGAAAAAAAAAAGCAAAATGGCACAAAAGTTGTGCTCT